TCGCCGCTTGGCCTGCTCCGCGATCTCCGGCAGCTCCTCCGCGTAGCCGCTCCCGCCGCCCGCCTCGATATCGAGGCCGTGCAGGCTGCGCTGCGTCGTCGCCCACTGCGCCTCGCGCTCCTCCCTGCCGTAGTTCTTCTTCGTCGTGAAGGCCGTCTTGTTCTGCAGGAGATTGTTCCAGGCCCTGCCGCTCAGCACGTAGCGGATGGCGAACTTGAACAGGTCCAGCGGGACGAAGGTGACGAGGCTGTAGAGCCAGATGACGCCCGCCCAACCCCATCCGATCCCTCTGATGTGGGCGAACCCAAAGTTCGCGAACACTGCAATGACAGTGGCAACCTGCAACCAACCACAAGCAGTTTGATTTCAAGACCGATATAAATGGTTGGCAGGCTTGCTCGATCAGAAGTGAAAGGACGATGCTTACGATCTGCGCGATGACGAACGCCGCGCACAGCAAGAAGCCGGGGCGCTCCGTGAAGCACCAGCTGCGCGACCGCGTCACGAAGATGAGGGCCTGGCTGATGATGCTCACTTGCAGGTACAGGGCCGACATCATCTCATCGTTGCTGCCACGCAGAGACCTCACGTGGAAGGTGTTCTGCATTGCCAGCATGGATAAATTAATCTCGTTGTCTTTCGTGCTAAAATTTGGATTATTAGTTGGTAATCATGGAGAAGGCAGGAGAAAATATGCATGCATGCATGCTTACAGAGAAGAAGTCGGTGCTCCTCATAGCCCAGAAGAACACCACGGTCATTACAGCCATGTAGGCACCATAAACAATTCCGGTGACAAAGATCTCGTTCAGCTTCCAGCTATCAGGGTGTGGCGACGGTTTTACTATGTCCTTTGCGATAGTCATGATAGTGCCTGAAATCGTACAGTATATTTCTTTAGAAAAAACAAGTGTTGAATGCGTAGGAATTAGTAAACAATATGCAACTCTTTTGTATTGTATGCCTCTGAATGAAGTTGTACTGCAAACTTACCATCGTTCAGAATGGCGATGACCAGAATCATGAATGGTGAGAAATCAAACTTCCATATCAGCGCAATCAGCAGAAACCCAAGCTGCACATTCACGATTCATGGTAAATAAGAATTTCAAACAGATATAAAACCATACATGTCTCTAGATTTTTGCAAAGTTTAGGTAAAAAAAAAACTTACCACGATCCGGATAGTGATTGACACCGCATATATCTAACCAACCAAAAAAACAAGAGAAAGAATTAATTATGGTCACAATCGTAAGGCATAGTGAATTTCGTCGCAAGAAGAAATGCTCGCTTACAGTGTAATTCTTCATCCTCTGGAAGATGGCCCTGCTGGTGAGCACAGCGCTGATGATGACACTGAGCCCTTCTTGAGTAAGCACAATGTCAGAGGCGCTCCGTGCTGCATCAGTAGCTCCAGCTACAGCAATTCCGATATCCGCTTTCTTCAAAGCAGGCGCATCGTTCACGCCATCTCCTGTCATTCCACAGATGTGCTTCATCTCCTGCAGCTTCTTGACAATCTCATATTTGTGCTCTGCATCAAAGTGCACAACTTCAGAATGAGTAAACAATCCAACCAATTATTACTACAGTGCATCCTCGCAAAAAAAAAATTACTACAGTGCAATTCTGTGTTCATGCAAACCTGGAAAGACGCCGGCGAAGCCATCGGCCTTCTCGATCAAGTCATCCACAGGAATCGAAGCAGTGGCTTCATTTTTGCTTTTCCCAAGCAGAGCCGATGATGGATACATGTTTGTGCCCATCCCTAGCCGTCTCCCCGTCTCCTTAGCAATGGCGAGCTGATCACCTGCAGGTGCCAAATGTCAAAGAATGTCAGCATGAACCTCTTAGTCTTGCAGCCTAAAAGTAGAATTATTAGACAATCAAATGCGGAATGTACCCGTGATCATCTTCACGTTGACACCGAGGTCGAGCGCACGCTTGATTGTCTCAGAACTATCTGACCTCGGCGGGTCCAGGAGAGGGAGCAGGCCCACGAACTCCCATGGCTCTCCGAGGCTTTCTTTACTCTTCTCCGGAACTTGCTGTAGAAAAACAAGATAAAACATTAGACACAATTAAAAAAAAGGCGTACTCCTTCTGTCAAGAAAAGAATGCAAATCTAAAAGTAAACATGCCTGTCTTGCAACTGCAAGAGACCGAAGACCACGCTCGGCGTACTTGTCGATCACAGTGTGAACCAGGTTCTTGACGGTATCTCCACAGTTGCAGAGGGCCAGCATCTACAATCATGCACACCATGGGAGTATCATAAACACGATACAATCAATTTTTTTAGGGGGGGTAAAAAAATAGATGAGGATGAGTAAGCCATGACAATGTATGTACCTGTTCAGGAGCGCCCTTGCTGACACGGTGCCAGCTGCCGTCGGCAAGATCAATATATGTGAGGGCAGTTCGCTTGTCGACGGGGTTGAAGGGGAAGAAATGCACCTCTTCAATGCCGTCCCTAGCCTCCTTCGGGTCACCGAGCATGCCAACCATGGCGGCGTCGATTGCGTCCTGGTTATCCACCCTAGATGCCCTGGCGGCGAACAAGACAACATCGTTCTTTTCAACATCCGCAGCAAAGATCTCAACAAGGCCGCGGTCGACGCTAAGCTTATTGATGGTGAGTGTGCCGGTCTTGTCACTGCAAAGCACATCCATGCCGGCCATCTCCTCGATGGCGGTCATGCGCTTGGTGATAGCGCCTTGCAACGACAGCTTGTGGGAGCCGATTGCCATGGTGACGGAGAGCACAGTAGGCATGGCAATTGGTATGCCACCGATCAGAAGCACGAGGATGTTGTCGATGCCTTCACGGTACCGGCGGTGCTGGACCGCGTACATGATGACGACCTCGACGAATATGCCGATGGCGATGGTGGCTATGCAGAAGTTGCCGATCGCCTTGAGCACCTGCTGGAAGTGTCCGACTTGGTTGGTGCTGTCGACGAGGTGCGCCGCCCTCCCAAAGAAGGTGTGCACACCGGTGGCGATGACGATCGCCTCGATCTCGCCCTGCTTGCACGTGGAGCCCGAGTAGACGCTGTCGCCGGGGTTCTTGGTGACCGGAAGGCACTCGCCGGTGAGCGCCGACTGGTCAATCTTGAGCGCGTCGCCCTCGAGCAAGCGCGCGTCGGCCGGGATGATGTCGCCGAGCTTGATACTGATAATGTCACCCGGGACAAGGACCGCCGCGTCCTCCTCGCTCCACCGGCCGTCGCGCAGCACCTTGGTCTTGGGCGCAAGGTTGGCCATGAGTGCCTCCGCGGCGCTCCCGGCGTTGTTCTCCTCGATGAATGAGATGGTGGAGTTGATGACGAGGAGCACGATAATGCCGACGAAATCTTGCCAGTCCGGCGGCCTGTCGCCTCCGTAGGCAAACCCAATGGCTACCAGAGCAGCAAACTCCATCACCCACGACAGCGGGTTCCACATAAACATTAAGAACTTCAGCACCTTGCTTTCCTGCAAACACGACCAAGGAAATACGACACCGTTATTTTATTTGCGACCAAATTATGCGTATGTATATTGCAGATTAATCTTTTTTTGGAACATATTATATATTCAATCAGATTATCAATCAATACGTTAAAAGAGTACTAATCTATAAAATACGCCTGACATCAGTACATGTGCTTTTATCTAACATATTAAAATACGATGAATTCTATTTGTGCTTTCAACATATTATTAGTACTTGTCTTGATTTTATAAAATTGAACAGACAACAAATAAAAAGGAACGAAAGAGATGAGAATTGCATATGATATGACGGACCTTTTTTTCTTCCAATTTATTGGGACCAAAGATAGCGGTGCGTTGCTGGACCTCGCTGGAGCTAAGACCTTCCTTACTGCATCTGAGGGTGATAAACACTTCTTCCATGGGAATGCTCTCCTGCAAAGTAGTAGTAGATGCACGTGCATGTGTTAGATTAGAACAAAGAACACACTTGTCTGATCTCGACACCGGCCACGAGCTCTAGATTATTTTGAAAATAAACAAAGGAAAAAAGAAAAGTGTGGAATCTCAATTGAACGATGATGAAATCAATCTGACCAGATCAATCGCCTCTGTTTTGATCTGATCGAGAGTCTGCATGTCGGTCGCCATCCCCATCCCCTGGGCGGGGCGGCAGCAGAGAGAGATACGACGACGGTGGCCGGCGGCTGAAATCTCCCCTCCAGTAGAGGGAGGGAGGGATGGATGGATATGCGGTGGCTGGCTGGCTGGCTAAAACCTTCTCGTATACGTACGAAAACAACAGGGCTAAAACCTCCGGCAATTTACTTCCGCGGCTTCCGCCTAAAACCTCTCAGCACAGCAAACAACCAACGAGAGAGAAAAGAAAACAAGATCTGTTTTGTTTTATTTATAACAATGAGGTCTTGCGGCAGGCACGCCTCCTCTCATCATCCGGGTCTGTTACGGACGGGGGACGGTCAAACCCGTACGTGATCCCGTCACCGGTCACCCCCTCCAACCCAACGAAAGCGGAAACAAACAGAAATCGACTCAAGTTGGGGATGGACAGTGAAATCGACTCAATATCGGACATCCGTTTCTGATCCAACAAACTGGCACACCAGCAGAGCCAAACGGGAGGAGGCACTACTCTCGTGCTCGTGCACGGCGGAGACATACCCTCCGGCCGCCAAGAGGGAGCCAGGGAGGCGGTCACCGGGAAGCCATGGACAAGAGGGAGTTCTTGCTGGCCTCTTGAACGCCACCGACGAGGTGTTGTTGCCTGCTGCATGGACGCTATGCAGGAAAAGGTGGACATCTCGGCCGATGAGCTCGGAGGAGGATGGAGCCATGGCAGCATGCAATGCAACGGAACAACCTCAGTGCAAACAGAAGAGCATACAACGGAGACATGTACCATTAGGTTCACTTATTATCCATGTACAGCATTGTACAACCAAGCAGACATCAAAGTTTTATTTCTCTCAAGTTTTACTCATTATTATGCATTGTATCCTCTAATAGGAAGGCACAACCATAGCGCCAACTCTGTCGCGGGGGATGAGGCGCAACTCCGAACCATGTTTCAGAAACACGTTGCCTGTGGAGGAAAAACAAAACAATAGTTCATGTCAGAAACTGGAGCCTGAGGGCCTCGTCCAAAAGAAAAGGCACAGCAAGCGAAATCAAGTCATGCGAATTTTAGTGACTTTCTGATAGTGACTCATCCAAGAAACAGTACAGCAGAGGGACTCGTACAAGAAACAGTACAGCATATCAGTACATTTGTGCAAAGTGTATGTCATGCCATGCCGTTCGCTAAGTCATGTGAATTGCTAATGCATGTACTAGTGCTGATATATTACATAAGAATGACACTAGATAAAACTTACAAGACTGACTATTTGCCCTTCCTAAAAACAACTCAACGTGATGCAACTGCTTACATGCAGAGGTAACACTCCCAATCACTCCTATTCGTAATTTCAGCTGTCAACTTCTGTGTCAGCACAGTTTAAATAGTGCATTGTATGGCAATAAAAAAAACACAGATCCAGAACAGGCATATATAGCTAAATGTTTCTATCGATGCTACATAATCCAGAACATTATAAACTGGTCTGCTGATGCAAATTCTTCTATACAACATATTTGTGCCGGAAAAGTATTGCAAGGGTGACTTTCTGGAAGGTATGAGGACATCACAGCAGGAAAAAACACAGATCTGAAACAAAAATGTATGCCGGTATCTTGAAATGGTACCTGCACTTTGCTGGGGATTGATGCCAACTCCATCTGCAAAGGAAAAAAAATACAAAATCATTTCAAAAAGTGTATGAGAAACAAGAATGATTACTTATCATCAGATGTTGTATGCAAAAAGGCAGGAAAACTTAAAGAACATCACGTCACAAACTTGATGGTTATAACCAACAATAGTTGCATTAAGAAGTGCTATTTTACAACGCCACTGGCCACTGCTCACCATCAGGTAACAACAAAGCCAGAAAGCTGAAAGCTATCCATACCATTCTTATAGATAAACAACACTGGAAAGAGTAGCACATTCTTTTCCGGTAGAACCTAGGACTGCTTTTTTTATGCTACCAAATGAGGTTTTCATTACCATTATGAGATGAACACATGAAGATGGGTAAATTCAAGACTTATCACTCCATTTTTCCAATTATACTGAATTAAGATTTGGGTGATCCAAGAGGCCTAAATTATCAGGATCAATATAACCATATCAAGGAAAAGATTGGAACAATTTGAAACTACAGAGTGCCATTGGCTAGAACTTATAAACCCATCAGGCAAACAAAAAACTAAAACCGCTCCAGCAGCATCATTCTTACATACTGCAGCGACAGGTTCCGTTCCTGAGCAACATGGTATTGGACATGTCCCGTACGTGTCATCCAGCAAGCAACAAGTCGCTGTCTAAAATTTAGCTTGCCATAGGTCCCAAATAGATGTGCCATCTACGAATCTACGAACTAACTAAACATGTAACCCTAGGCAACCAACATTTTATGATGGCACGTGCTGCAGGTGGAATTCACAGGCACAGTTAAATGAGTTCCATAGTCGCAGGAACCTAAAATTTCCCCACCAATTTTCACATGTAGATCATGGTCATTTCAAGTGGCACAGGGTGATTAAAAACTATGTCATCATCCCAACTAAAACGAAAACAACATATAGCTCACACAGTTCCTTGTAAAATTGCTATCAGCTACCATGATCAGGTAGATCCTCTCCGGGCAACGAAGCATCTAGGCGAGAGGACCATCCGAATCGCGTACGAGCGAGAGATCAATTTTTCCAAGTGAAGAATTTCTCATGACGCGAGGGGGCGAGGGATGGCATACCGTTGGTGATGATGGCGCTGGTCTGGGGCGGGACCTTGAACTCCTCCGCGGCGTACTTGAGCACCGCGGTGAAGGGCGCCGCCTCGGGCACGCTGAACCTGCGGGAACCCAAAGCGGGCGGGTGGGGTCGGGTCAATCACGGATCGGGAGCAGCAGCCAGAGGCATGCAGACAGCCACGGCGATCGATCGATCGCCGTGGCATCAGATCCGAGGGAGGGAGAGAGAAGGCGCTGATGGTACTCACACTTTGAAAGGGAGCTTGGGGTCGGAGGTGAGGATGATCTTGAAGGACACCTTCCCTCCTGCGCCGCCGCCCGCCGCCGCCATGGGGGTGTTCGCCTCCGACTCCGATCGAGGCCGCGGCGTCGCGCGCTAGATGTTGCGCTCTCTCTCTCTCTCTCTCTGTTAAGTGGGCCTGCGCTGCCTCTGTGTCGCGACGAAGCCCCACTCGCGTGCCCGCAGCCCGCGTCCCTTTTGTTTGCAGCAAAAGGGGTTGCGTTTTTCTGAGGCGTCTCACAACTCACGCGTGCCGCGCGTTTCAGGAGATTCTTTCCCCATGAGCCATGACCCCTTTAGAACAGATAAATTTTTACATAAATTGTTTAGAAATCAGTTCAATTTTTACAGAGGATAAACACATGAAACAGAAGGAAAAAAAATCGTGTTTCAAGGGGGCTTTGCTTGTTCTTTTCTTCTTATTAGTATATTATATATCACTGCTGCTTTCTCCCCTGCGAGAATGTCAAAGTACATTTGTGGATACCTATGTAGGTCATTAGATCTGACTAAATTCTCTGCTCTTTTCAGGTGTCAGAAAAAGGAGTTTGCAGTGATCACGCATTTTCCATAAACATAAATGCTAATAAAACATCACGTTCAGCATCTGATAGATAAGCCTCTATTCCCAACAAATTTAGTGTGTTTTGTAGACCATGAATTATGCATAACACTGTATTCTGCATATGCAACCTCAAATTGTCCATTCTGGTGTTCAGCTCAGTAACAAGCAATACAAAGTCACAACCCCAAAATCAGTGCAACAAGGAGAATGGACGCTACCTTGGCGCCTGATTCAATATGCTGCTCTGGCAGGTACACATAAACAGATACACTGAAAAATATAAAGAATAACGGAGGCTGCACAATTTCAGGCTGCAGCAGCAGCAGGTTGTGCTTAACCACTCAGCACAAATTCCAAAGTATCATATTCTTCCGCCTTAAATGTTGGAATCTCTCCAAGTCGTCGCACAGTAATCCAAACATTGGTTCTATTGATCCATCCCCGTTCATCATTGCAAAATAGCAGCTTAAGAAATCTTCAACATAAATATCCCCAAACAGCTCTGGGTAGAAGCAATGTCTGGTTACTGTGGGACGACTTGGAGGCGAGATTCCAACATTGTAAAATCGCAGCTTAAGAAATCGTCAACATCTCTGGGTTATCCGTCATCTCTTACTCAGACAAGGGATACAAAGTTACAACCCCAAAATTTCTGCAACAAGGAGATACAGGCTACCTTGACACCCAACACTCTATGCTACTCTGACAGGTACATAACAACAGAGAAACTGGACAAAATTATAAAGAATAACAGAGGATGCATAGTTTCAAGTTGCAGCTAGGTACATGTGAGTGCTCTACCATTACGTTGCATCATGGTCCTGGAAAAGCACCACACAGAATTTTTTCCTCGGATACCTTCATAATGTTGGAATTTCCCCTTCCTCTAAGTCGTCCCATAGTGACCCAGACGTTGTCTCTACTGGCTCAACCCTGTTCATCATTGCAAAATCACAGCTTAAGAAGTCATCAACATCCATATTCTCAAACAGCTCTGGGTAGGTATTCATCATCTCTTGCTCAAAGGCCAAGTCGGGTACCTCTGGGAACAGTCTCTCGTCAAAGTCCAGTGGATAAACTTTCATGCAAGATTTCCTTTTCAGCACTTCAGGAGTTGAGCTTGGTGTCCGTTTGTTTTGTTGACTGTGTTCCAGCTGGGGACCCGTCACACCATCAGATGCTACAATGCTGATGGAAGATGGTACTAAAGAATCTGTTGTCTTGATGTCTATCTTAGATAAAGCTGCATCTTCTGACTCTGCAATGCTGCCATGATATGAAGTTGCATGCCCCTTCAGATCTAAAATGTGCCCCTCTGAGCACAACCCACTTTCCCTTGTCTTCTGATCCAGAGGACAGACTTCCATGAGGAACTTAGTTTCTGCAGGCCCAGAGGTACCATTTGGTGATATCTTGCCAAATTGATTCAGTTCTTTCAGCTGACCATGTAATGCTTGACAACCTGGGTATGAGAGCACAGAAGAATCAACATTGTTATGTATCTTTGATTCATTTGTAACATCTGCTGGAGAAATTTTACAGGCATTCGAAGTTCCACAGTCCTTGAGATCTATAATCTCCGTCTCAGGTGAAAACTCGCCTTCCTCTATTTCCTCCTCATGAAACTTGCTGCCTTCTACAGGTGGCTCGTCAGTTGTGCTGCCAGGGTTTTTTCCATCTTTAGGAAGCCTGTTCACCATTTTCTCGATTTCAAAGTCATAATTGTCCGACGGAAGAAAGACATTGATAGTTGGGTACTCGACAACAAGTATACCCCTCAGCTGTGGGCGCAATGGTTCTTCTATATTGAGAAGGCGGTATGGTGACTCTGATCGCTACAACAGATTAAAATTAAAGAATTATATGATGAAAATTAAAGTACAACAAAAGTCACTAAGCATCCATATGCATGAAAACTTGATTTACAATACCTTGGCACACTTTTGAATGAAGAGTTTCAGATCACGCAATTCGGTATTCCGATATTGTGTAAGCTGATCCTTCCAAGGGCCAGGACTAAGATGTTTTTCCAATAGAGAGAGCAAGGTTGTGTGCTCATCTATCCTGAAAAAAATGCATAAAAATCAGCGCACAAAGAAAGGGGGAGATAGCAACTAGGGTCCTGAAGTCACCATATGTTTCTATTTCACATGGAAAACTACTACGAAAGTATATATAAATAATTTTGATACTCAATTTCTCGTGGAACCAAGTAAAGAAAGAATAATAACATTTGTGCCAGCAGGACCTTTGAGGATGACAGAAACATCATAAATATGAGACTGTAACGAAAAAGAGCAACTGTTGCAGAAACTGGTAGCTTTGTTCTGCCATGAGATATCGCCATATTGAACAGTTCCCAATTTGCAAAGAAAGCACACTGGGAGGAAGAAGAAGAATACTGATAGATAGATTATCATAAACTTACTCATGATCGGTTAGGACAACATCAGTTGAATTGAATCTCCATTCAAGTGTCCAGTATATGCAATCCTTCCTGCACAGAGAAATTCAGATTAGAGCAGCTTTCGTATGACATAATATAGGGAAGCAAGAAAGGGTGATACAAGTAGCATGGCTCGCTGAGATATATTTTTGTTGTAGGAAAGAATGGCTGAGAAGGGTGGAATATACATCGATATAAGTTTGCACTAGATACAGACAATGAGACATTACAGCTTTAACTATTCATTTAGTAAAGAATGTTGGGGCTACTAGTTGTAGGAGGATTACAGAGTGAAACATAGCATTTGTTTTCAAGGTGCTGCAGTATTTGTGTTGTTATCGCCTAACTAGCGCATATTAAGCTGAATGGTAACTAGACAACTCTATGAACTTATCATCAAAGTTCCATCTCATCTTTTCTCTAGCACTGTTAGGGGCACCAAATACTTGAAGTGAACCAAGATCCTTTCAGATAATAATGAGAAAGGAACCGCATGCCATGCAATTCAACAATTGCAAAGCAAGCCTGCTGAACGTCTCCAGCAGCAATGCATCACACCCATGGCAAGTCAAAACTGAATCAACAAGACAAAGCACCTGTAATTGTGGCGCGAGCGGTTCTGCTCTCTCCTGGCCATGCCCCTGGGGAGGAAGCAGAGACTGACGCCCCGGCGTTTCGCCGCCTTGCTGAGGTACAACAGCCATCCGGGCAGCTTGGCGCCGCCGGATCCCCGTCCCCCGAAGTTGCCGCCAAAGCCGCCGACGAGCCTGTGCGCGGACTCGTTGGCCTGCTTCACCTCCTCCAGAAAGTTGTAATCTTTGACGACAGCGGCAGGCACAGCACGGAGACAACAAGGGAGCAATTCAAGAGGCGGCCAGCGTCGACTACTGATGATCAGAAGAAAGGGGGGACGCAGGCGTACCGGAGATGAGCTGGTTGTCGTCGAAGCGGGCGAGCGGGACGGGGTCAGTGCGGGGGCGCTTGCCCGTGCAGGCGGTGCGGCGCTTGTGGGCCTGCACGCAGGGGAGGCTGCAGGTGAGGCTGCCGCACCCGGGGCACCGGTACTTCCATGGATGCTCCCCGCACTCCTCGCACGGGGAATCTTTGGTCCCGCCGCCACAGCCGCCGGAGGTGGAGCTGGCGTTGGCGGCCGCGCTCCCTGCGGGCGGCGGCTCCTCCCGGCCGTCATCCATTCCAGGTGGGTTGGGTGGCTCGATCGTACAGGGGACGGCGCGTGCCAATGGGCGCTGTGTGCGGGCGTGCGGCGACTCGGGGAGATGCTAGGGTTTAGCTGGAGGTTTATCAGCGCCCGCGGCGGCCGCCACGGTGCGTGCGTCGAAGCTGCCAAGCACACAATGGGGCTGGGGCGCCGGGCGGACAGTTTTTTTTTTTCCTTTTGGGTTTGATTTCGACCGTATTTCTTTTTTCAGGCCAACAGCGGTGCCAAAGATCAAGGCTCCTCTCAATACAGGAATTTTATTGTAATTCTAAAAGAATTAATTCAATTTTTTATAGAAAAAAATACAGGAAATAGAAAAACAAGCTGACAAGGGCCGTAAACCATGATTTTTATGAAGTGGCTATTTGCAGAAACTAAAAGTAGTTTTTATGGTCTAGGACTCTATATCAAGAAATTATCTTCCACAATGCAACGTTTTTGTTTTGAGTCTTCACAGTCATTCATCCCAGCTTCTTCTCAGATCCTCTGCTCCAGCATTCGTGCATACAATACATATTTCCTCGTTCTACAAACGGGAATCTGGACAAGCACCAAGGGATTGACCTCCTTCTCGGTGTATATGAGAATATGGACGAGCACCAAGGATTGGCCTAGGAGGCAGCTGCCTCCTTGTCCTACCGCGAGATGTGTCACACCTGTACACCGTCCACAGCCGCCGGTGCCGCAGCTTCATCATGGAGCTGACTGTGCTCGGGAATACCTTCTCGGCCAGCACAATCATCAACATGGCACGCTTTCATGAAGCATGCTTGCATGCCCCTTCATGGAGATTCATGATCGAGAGATCGGCCAGATTAATT